ACGCCGTGGAGCGAAGAATTCGATTGTGGATGCGGTGGTTTTAGTTGATTTGTATCCTGTGACGATGGAAATTGGAGAGAGAGGGAGGAGTCCATTGTGAGATGTTGAAAGTATTGATGGGTGTTGTTGGGGTGGTGGAAACTGCGGAGGGTCATTATATATAAAGAATTTTTTAGGTGGGGTTTTAATGGAGATGACTTAGTGGGCAGACACGTCAGCTTGGCTGCTGGATTTGGACTCGTGCGGTCAAAGTTTTGGTGCTCTGAATGTTATGCACGTTTGTTACGCAGTGACGTCGTGTTGAGGGTGCATGCTAATTTTAATAAAGTTTCTAGTAGTTTTTAGTTTTCAGAAGGGTAAATTGCAGTAAACGCCCGCGCACTTTCAGCATTTAGCAGCAAACCTTTAGAAGTTTCGAAACCGCACTAAACCCTCAATCACTTTTGCAAAAACTCCCCAATATCTTCTAGACAATTACATTAAACCCCCAATAACTTTCATTATGTTATTTTCTTGCTCTAATTATAGGGGTTATCTGCAAAATATAGAAACTTTTATTGGAGTTTTTTGCAAAATAGAAAAGTTATTGGGATTAGTGAGATTTTAAAAGTTCGTTGGGTTTTACTGCAAAGTTCTGAAAGGGGTTTTAGTGTAATTTAACCTTTCTAGAATCTAATAGTTACATGTCTTTGTATTAAACATTGTAACTTATGCTAAGTATAAATGTCATATATATTCTTTCTCTGCATTATAATTACTTTTTTGTTCAAGGGAAATTATAACTGCTTATTATTACATGATAAATAAATGAAATTGAATAAATGGATTATTGTTATCTGTCTGACTGTCTATCAAGAAAATAACCTGATTTATAGTATTACGAACTCTAAGAAATTAAAATCAATGCAAATAAAAGATTAGGATTTGAAGATTAGAAATTGAAGGTCCATATCATATCAATCATCTGTAATGGTAAATACTAATGAGGCTTGTATTTTGTGTAAGAGTTGTTGTAAAGCTGGTTTTCGAATGCTTTAATGATAAATCATTAATATTGTTTCTATGAGTTTTAAGAATTTTGAATTTATAAATTTCTGAAAGTTGGGATTGATGCTTATATACTACAGTATAAATTAATTAGAACTTGTGTACTAAATTACTAGCCTTTATCTGCAAGCTCTTATGCATTTTCTTGTAAACTGCAACTTGTCCCCTTCCCCTGCAGTCGGCAGTCCTTCTTGGTCCCTCTCTGTCTCTAATCAATTCTCTGTCAAGTCTCTCTACTCTATGATGGCAGATGGAGACCTACGTTTACAATTCAATTCTTCTATCTGGAACAATCTGTTGCCCATCAAAGTCCAAATTTTCTTCTGGCTCTTGAGCCTTCAAAGACTGAAGACGAAGGATAGATTAGCTATCCAAGGATTGCTTGCAGACTCCTCATGCCCTTTCTGCAATGATGAGGAAACCCATGACCATTTATTCCTGCAATGCTCTTATGCTAATCAAATATGGACCCCTGTTCTCTCCAAGATTGGTATTGGCTCCCTCCCTACCGACATCAACCTATGTCTTGCCATTTGCTCTAACATGTCCATCCAGCCATCAGTTCGTCTTCTTTGGGGGCATCTGCTTCCCGACTATATGCTGGGTCATTTGGAAAGTTAGAAATGATCGCATCTTCTCTAACTTGATTTACTCTCCTCAACAAACCATCTCCAAAGCAATTAATTTTCTCATTTTTTGATCAGGTGCCTCCTCCTCCAAGAAGACAATCAAGCTGCAGCGGCTAATCTGCCCCTCTGGGCTGCCGGAGATTCTGAAATCAAGTGAAGATAGAAACAAGATCACCTGATCAAGGAGTTTATGTTTGTTGACTAAGATGGTCTTTTGTAACAAACATTCTATCCTTCTTTTCGGTTTTCTACATCTTCTGGTTTTTTAAGATTTGTTTTGGTTTTTTATATATATCTTTTAGTTTTCTACTTATGGTTTAGCTTTTTCTCCACCTAGGAGCTGGTGACTAAATCATCGGTAGATAACTATTTTTGTAAGAAGTTCTATTCATGTTTTATATATGGGAAAAATGCTTCCAGCCCTCAAAAGCTAAGGAAGCGTGCTTCCCACCCTCAAGATTTGGTCAATGGATGTTTTACCCCCAAAAATAAAGATTCTGTTCTCTAAGCCCCCAAAACACAAAACCCAAGAGATTAAAATTTACCCCCAAAAATAAAGATTCTGTTCTCTAAGCCCCCAAAACACAAAACCCAAGAGATTAAAATATGTGAAGACCATAATACTCTTCTCTCTCTCTTTCAAGAGATTAAAATATGTGAAGACCATAATACTCTTCTCTCTCTCTTTCTTTTTTTATTAAAATATGATGAAGATTATTTTATTATTTTTGTTTTCTCTCTCTCTTTATCATAATGTACTAAGATGATAATTGAAATGATTGATGATGATTATTTTATTATTTTCTTTTTTTATTATTTTCGTTGTTTGTATTGGGAGATTGTTAAAGTTACGGGTTAATTGTTAATGTTACGAGATTTTATTATTTTCGTTTTTTCTCTCTCTTTATCATAATGTACTAAGATGATAGTTGAAATGATGATGATATTTATTTTATTATTTTTGTTTTTTATTATTTTCGTTGTTTGTATTGGGAGATTGTTAAAGTTACGGGTTAATTGTTAAGGTTACGAGTTAATTATTAATGTTACGGGTCAATTGTTATGGTTATGAATCCTCTCTCTCTCTCTCTCTCTCTCTCTCTCTCTCTCTCTCTATCTATCTCTCTCTATCATGATGTTACTTTGATGATATTAAAATGATTGAAGAGGATTATTATTTTATTATTTTTGTTTTTTATTCTTTTTATATTTTTAGAATATTTATTGTTAAGGATAATGGTTGGTTGTAAAGGTTATGCATTGTTTGTTAATGTTACGGGTTGGTTGTTAAGGTTACGGGTTTGTTGTTAAGGTTATGGGTTTGTTGTGTAGGTTACGGAATTGTTGTTAAAGTTACGGGTTTAATTGTTAAGGGTACGGGTTTAA